CAAAATGGGACCGGCTGTGGCGTCGGCAAAGTTGGCTAATTTAATCGCGAAGATTTTACTTCTCACTTCCATCCTTGCACTGCTTGCAGCCTACTTCTTGGTGGTCACCAACTTACTGGATTAAGTACTGCAGTAATAATATAGTACTATCAATAATTTCAGTAATATCAGTACAAGTAATATCAGAACAAGGTGTGTGATAATCAGTAATATCAATAATATCCGTACTATAAGTATCCGTAATATGAATATGATACGTTCATACCTAATAAATATTTGTCAAAGTTTGTGGGCTAGAAGCCTGACGCCGTAAATATATCTGGGCTGTTAGGGCACGTATTCACGATAGTTATCGTATATTGATATTACCTGGAGGCGAATATTTATTCTTAGTGGGAGGACAGCAAGGCTTTGCACCACTAGTAAAAAGGCATTAGATCTAGAAATATTAATTTGATTTTTAAGTTTACTTTGAGCGGTGCAAAATTGGTTTAATTCTGATATGATTATGATTAATTTGATTTGAAACGATATCGTTCATCGTCAAAATTAAATTGTAAGTTTCATGAAAATTGTAGGTTTGAACATAATGATTTTGATTATAATACATAAACTTCATTATTAATTTTAATACGGATAGGAAGGACGGGATTTGGAATAAAGGTATTTTTAAAATTGCAGGAATCCTCGAGCCCGGGCAACGTCAGGTTAACCTTCTAGTATTAAATTAAACGGACATTTTAATTATTTTATAGACTAAGCGAGTACACAAAATTGATTGACCTTATAGTCTTTGGAAGCACAAAAATTTGTTTGACAAGCACTTTGTCCTTTCTAGAGGCCAAGCAGACGTTAATAACCGAGAGTGGAAAACCTGGTCGTATATAATTTATGACTTGTGACTTCCTGGATATGTGGCTGACAACGTGGCGGAGCACTGGTAATTATTATTTGAAGATTATAATGCACTTTAGTTCGTCAGCTGCCATTTATTAACACAGAGAGCGGCAGGCTCTTACATCTCATCATCATTCTCGATACAACGTTGCGAAGACATCTAAAATAAAGCGTACATCACTTCTCAAAGAATATATACTTCTTCCAATCCAATAAAAAATTAATGACCAGTACTTTTAGCAAACCCGTTTATTAGGTCGAAAAATGTATCGTAGATTCAGTTCCTTATAGTATATTAGGTAGCTTAACCATTGTCTATTTGCCGTTATCCTCAATATATCAATAACTATCTATAATTACCGTTCGAAAATACGTAAAATTTCGTAATATTCCAATCGCGGGAATGCAATGTAAAATTTTTTGAACATCCTAGTCCCTCGCTTCTAAACGAGTGAAAATAAATCACACACATCAAATGTACCTTTACTTCAACGGTCACACCTCAATGGTACGTCTATTGAATACAAAAAATATATGGCACGTTGTCTTTTTTTAATGAGTTTGTGGCTCCGTAAGGCTCACTCAATATAGTGATGCTAGCAGGCTACATGGAAGTGTTCGGACGCGTTATACTTCAAAATTCTTAGCTACAAGATATTCGAGGATCGGAAATATGCTCAGCTCATAATTTATGCCACAACATTGTTATTGAAATTACGAATTAAAATTGCCTGAACTTGAAATGACACTTAGTGCACCACTCAACTAATGTTTAATTAAATAAATTAATTAAAATTTTCAACTTGATGGTTTTAATAATGAATTTCTAATTCACATAATTGTGACATGATTACGAGAGGAACATCGTCAATATCTGAATCCGTGTTCAAGTTTCTGTAGAAAACTGTGATGAACACTCAAATTTTAAACCATAATAACAAAACAATTATCTAAAATCTAAAATTTCACTGCAATTTAAGAAGAATTTACGAACGAGATAAGCTGCCAGTCCTTTTTAGAGCAGAGAAAATTGAGAAAAGTCGCTTCAACAATATGAGTCCAAAGAACTCTGTGACCGTGAGAAGTTTTTGGTCAAAAATCATGAATTTAATCCTATACCGACTGTGACTTTTCTGCTCTGCTACATAGTGCTTACTAATCATATTTCTATACAATTAATTTATGAATAACAACAGAACCGCAGCGAAATTTAGGCTGAATTAAGTTGTAAATTTTTAATAGGTAATTTAAACTCTGAATGTAATCTAATACCTTAGCACCAATATCGACTCGAGACAAACACGCAAATTTGTGAAATAAGTCACACCGATTCAAAGGAATTACAAATAACTCGTAAAAAATGAATAGTTCGACAATAAACTCAAAGTATGAATTTCACTTATAAACAGCTCGCTTTAGAAGGAGAATCTGATAATATAATTCTAGCAAAGAGCCTCTCGCTAATTACTGAGAAAAAAATTTAATATGCAGCATATAACAATATTCCAAGCTTTCATCAGAGCATCGCCAGATGCTAGAAGATTATCGTGAATCAAAGGCACTTGAAGCGCCGATCAGTAAAAGTGACCGAGAAGTAAAAATGCCTCAGGAATCATAAAGAAATACGAGTGCAACAGAACGGAGAAAACTGTCATTAATATATGATGAAAACTGCAAGTTCCATTAAGTACGTTATTCATTAATGCGCCCGTTCTAGAAAATTGATGTAAAGCTCCCATTCATGAAAAATTTAAAAAACAGAAGACAGCCCGGAATTCAGCGGAAGGCTGGCGAAGAGAGGCACGCGTCATCACGCACACGGAAGTGTATACTGTCTACAAAGTCTGCTTCATCTACCCAATTCTACTAAAAATTTCTACGCTCTAGCATCTACTTCACAGAAATTAGTCTAGACAGATTTAGCGGGAATATATCACAGCTATGCCACGTTAAGACACCGCAGATACCGGAACACACACATCATTATCCACCGTTTAAAATGACCTATGCAAGATGTACAGGTAGTCCATCGCGCTCGATGAGAGCGAGAAATCAATGTTCGAAGTAATGGCGTTTGAATTTGAACGCAATCACACATATGAACATTAACCTACTCACACCACAGATTCTGAAGAATTAAAATAATTTGCTCACGTCCACTTAAAATTCGATCCTCGTACAATTCTGGACAAACAAAATTTACATTATTTACGTTTAACTAAACTAAAACGACGAACACTTCGCCTTGTTAAAAAATAGTTGAATTCAAGAATTAGACAGAAAATATTGTTTTCGAGTAATGCAAAAAGGAGTATCTTGACTAAACAACCAGCAGTGACCTGCAGGGATACCGACTTTCAAGCCCTTATGAATGGCTATAGTTGCTCCACGCATGCTGAATGACACCCACTCCTGCTGGATGAACTAAACACCTGCTGGCGGAACTAAAGCCATGTCGGCTGATGGAACGAAGATGTGAGCTAATGAACCAAATGAGCTGCAGCGCCACCTAGGTGCGAGCTAATGAACCAAATGAGCTGCAGCGCCACCAAGGTGCGAGCCAATGAACCAAATGAGCTGCAGCACCACCAAGGTGCGAGCTAACGAACCAAATGAGCTGCAGCGCCACCAAGGTGCGAGCCAATGAACCAAATGAGCTGCAGCGCCACCAAGGTGCGAGCTAACGAACCAAATGAGCTGCAGCGCCACCAAGGTGCGAGCTAATGAACTAAATGAGCAAAATGAGCTGCAGCGCCACCAAGGTGTGAGCTAATGAACTAAATGAGCTGCAGCGCCACCAAGGTGCGAGCTAATGAACTAAATGAGCTGCAGCGAGTGAAATAAATCGAGTGAAGGATTGTTTTAGTCCTCCGAGATCTGTAGACGGTCGTAGAAATTTCAATACGAAGTACACCGTCAAAGCTAAAAGGGATATTTTCATATAGAGCATATACGTAATATTGCATATCGGTTACCCGAAAAAAAACTAGAAAAATGGGAATTGTAAAAAACCAACTCGCACTTAATATTTGGAGACAAACAGCGCTGTTTCAATGAAATGTAGTTTTCGAATTCAATTATGGTAAAAATTAAACATGGCAAGCACAAATTGGAGAATTAACTAAATTTCTGCGTTTTATAGCAATATAATTATAGAAAACTTGGAAAGTTACTATGAACAGGATCATATATTAATTCACTTCCAAAATGGAATGTGTAAACCAACACCGTTTGCAGTCGAAAGTAGAAGAACTTAACAGGAAATACCTAATTAAACTGACTGTAACTCATTCATTACAAGCTTCATCTAGGAAGAAATGCGTCAATAAATTCCATCTATTACAATGGCAGCATGCAAACCCTCTAAAGAAGCAGGTAATGTTTCTGATTTAGATTAGGTAATCTTTCGAGAACAATGAATTTCATCACAAATTATGCCAATATATCTTCGCCATCAGAATCATATTCCACAGCGGTGAAGAAGGGCAATATTTCATGACGAGATGCGTCCTGAAATATCACAGCTAATGACTAAACAATGAAGTACTCAAGTGCCTAAACAATTCAATAACGTACGTGTAAAAAATTAGAATCACTCAAATTATCAATAGAAGGTGACAGAATTCATAAGCAAGATGCATTTTACTTACATTTATACAGATGTTCAAGACTGCTGCAAGGAGCTGTCTTGATCTGATATGACTGAGTTTTTAACAATAAGGAGAAGATATTGCGAAGGTGAATTACTCTAGTACAATATACACATGACATTTTTTGTGGAGCCCATAGCACACGATGATTAAATAACAGGAGAATTTGTCAGTCACCAGAACAAAGTATTTATATCTGTCGTGTCGAAATCGCGGAATTGCCTATTCTATGGAATCGGCAGCCAGTTTGCCAAATCTGTAGAATAAGCATTTAAATACTATAGGAATCAGGGGTTAGGTCAGTCAGCCAAGTTCTTCTTTTTAATATTTAAATATAAAAGAACTTGACCGAACTTGACCTAAACTTTTATAACTCTATCTGTCGATTTATGTTGTAGCTCAACTCTAACGTCCGATTTTCTGAATCAGCAACGTAATGCTGATTGCTCAGATTCGGCAAACTGGCTGCCGATTATCGGCCATTCTGCGATTTCGGCACGACTTATGCATTCATACTGATTTCGGTTTGATCACTAAACATGAGCGTCAGTCATAAACAGGTAGAGAAATCATTCAAGACGTAGGACTTGGATGCACGAAGGCCCTTTGTATAGGATGCATTAATCGTTACTGCTATTCGTACACAAAGTTCTGGGAGCGAGAGGTCCCGTCTGCACACAATGGGTTGAAGAGCAAGAGACTTGGGGATGCAGAAAACTACAGAGTACGAAGGACTGGGGGATCATGAGACTTGAAAGGCCACGAATATCTGATTCTGGATAATTCTTGCCGAGCGTCGAGCATGGACATACTTTGTCAGATCTTTATTACAGTTATTCAGCTTGAATGCATTCGTGTTCTCCAACCGGGTTTTTGACACTCGTTCAGACAAGGCTTTCATGGTGGAGCCCATTCATTGGAAGTTTATTGGTTGCTGGTTTCGGCTTCATGAAGCCAGTTAGCCACGAACGAACACTACTCGTTCCTCTTCTGTCGCCAGGCTCGGATTCTGTTGTAGCAATCTCGATACCTGATGGTGAATTATCCAACATTGGGCGTATTTCTTCGGAAGATGCACCGCTATCATCAGGGTCAGGATCCTGCGCCACGTCTCCAACCTGCTTGCTGAAGTTCACTCGAGGAACATCTTCGACGGGCAAAGTAGGCTCCGATGAAACCGGAGAGGCCAGATTGGAAAATCTACTATTACCCCGGCTTCTCAGTTTTGGTATTTCCAACATGAGATCTTGGCCGGCCGAATGAAGTTGTTCCAAGCTGTGTGTGGCACGCGTGTTGAGGTCTGGACTACAGCCACGTTTTGAATCAGGAGGTGAAAGAAGTCCGTCTTTGGTCGTGATCTCCAAACTGGAGGCCCGCACTCCGGTGCTAATCTTCCGTCTCTGCACCGCGGGAGGTGTCATCACCTTTGGGGACTCCCGCGACAAAGGAGAAACTTCTCGAACCCCTCGTCGAGGTAGCAGAATTTCACCAGAGCCATCAAAACTTCGGCTGCAAAAAGAAGAAAAAAAATGAGTTACTTCCATAATATACTGTAACGCACCTTGCCTCGGGGCGCAATTTCTTGCAGATGATTGAGTTGCAAGTAGCGATTTCTTCAGAATATTGAATGATAAAAAAGAACAGAGATACGGATTGAAGCGGTGAAGATCAGACTACAGTTTTTATGCGTATTAGCTCAACAATTGGCACAGCTGAATGAGCCTAAATATGCGGAATCTCTAGCCAATATTGCAAGGCACTAACCAGACATAATAAATGGCGAATAAGCTACTTATCAATACTTTAAATTAAGTAAATTACCATAGTACTCTCACATAACACTCTTTGACGAACACAATTTCCCTGCACTATCAGCCGTACCCTAGTCTTATTGCACACTAATAATACTACGGCACCACAAACGTAAACGCGTATCAGTGAGCATACCTTGTAATAGATGATCTGCCGCCGAGCGAAAATCTCCTGTGATCTGAGAGCAGTCGAGGCGACCGCCTGCGGATCTCGCCGTCGCCGTCTTGGAAGAGCGGCGGCATCTTGGGCAGCTCGTGCTTGGGCGTCTCGCGCCTCTGGATGGCCGTGTCGAGGGCTGCCTTCAGCCAGAACGTCAGCACTTGGCCTTTGCCTTTCATTTCAACGAGCCCACGCTCTTCGGTGACGTACCCGCCGAGCTTGTCGAGTGCTTTCTTCGTTGGCTCAGATATGTGGATTTGTAGAGGAAGGCCGTTGCTGGGAAAATAAATGCGTTAGAAGAAGTTGGTGAAAGCTCATCACGATGTTCATCATCGTGATGGATATATTCTTCACGATGCTCACGATTTTTATCAAAACACAATATATAACACCTTGAGTTTGGAAACGCAAGAATGACCTCCTTGATCTTAATTGAAATGCGTCGAGGTAAAACGAAGCAGCGAGTGTTAATGCAGCATTAAATAGTAACTTGGTGAATGCATTTGAACTGAAGACGACTCACCTCTCGAACCTGGCGGCGGTGTTAACAGTGTCGCCGAAGAGGCAGTAGCGGGGCATGGACAGCCCCACGACCCCCGCCATCACGGGGCCCGTGTGTACCCCCACCCGGAGCTTCAACGTCATCTCGGGCTTGTGCGGGATCACAAACTGCGTTTTTGTCTGCAATGATAGTCATTTTTTACCATTTTTGCAGCATTAATTTGAGTAAAATATTGTTGATGAATTGAGGTAGATCTGAATTTAAGGATGAGAAGGAAAGAATATTAACTTTTTATGTCCTTCATGAAGCAAAAAATAATGTTAAAATTCATCAAGATAGCCAAGCACATACAAAGAACATGAATAAATGCCAAGTCCAACGATGGGTTAAATCAACGGTGTTTGCATCACAAATTTGGTGTAGTGACTTCTGCAGTCTAGCCTATTGAAGTTCTGGACACAATACAAATCAATCTAAATATAAGAACTGTCAATTAATCTGTGTACAATTCTAGGGCGAAATAGCATCCTGAGTTCTCGTAGTTTCCATAAGACTCACATACTCAAGATTTGAGCTACCAATAAGATGCTATACCGAAAAATATAACTCAGTACTAACTGCAGTTAGTACTGAGTTAGTACTGAGTTATATTTTTCGGTATAGCATCTTATTGGTATACCGAAAAATATAACTCAGTATTAACTGCAGTGAGTGACAGAGAGCGCATTTTCTCGTCGACGAAAACGTGAAGTCACGGACGGACGGACAGACAGACAGACGGACGGACATGCGAGCACAATAGCGCCTTTTTCCATATATGACAAAATGCGCTAATAAAAAATCAATTTATTTATAATAAATATACATTACAAATATAAAGTTGGGGGTTGGAACTGTCCTAAAGGAAATATTCCCACCTTATCGACGAGCTCAAGAGCCATGGACGCAATTTCGCCCGCATGTTTGTCGTTCCGGGTTGGTAGTCCCGAGACGACCATGTAAGCGTCCCCGATTGTCTCCACTTTGTAGACATCGTAGCCGCTGATGATGCCGTCAAACATGCGGTACAACTCGTCCAGAAATGTCACAACCTGACATAATAAATTATCTTAGGTGATTTATTAAACATGCGGTGCAACTCGTCCAGAAATATAACAACCCGACATAACAAATTATCTTACGTGATTTATTAAACATGCGGTACAAGTCGTCCAGAAATGTAACAACCTGACGCAAAGAATACGTCAAATAGTTGTTTCCAAAGTGGGGTACAACAAATACAAAGAAGTGACCACTTAATCCAAAAAACTACATAAAATTCTTCCCTAGAATATTATTTAAACTTTTCATTAAATTAAAAATTCTTATAGAAGTTCACTACATTCCCGTATACCGCATTCAATTCAGTGAAATAAGTAAGAGAGAGATAGGATACTGAAATAGGTAAGGCAGATACTGCAGGCTGAAATAAGTATGGCAGAAATAAAATAATAAAATAGATAAGGCAGATATTAGACATTGAAATAGGTAAGAAAGAGATAAGACACCGAAATAGGCAAGGAAAAAGTTGGACACTGAAATAGGTAAGGCACATATTGGACACTGAAATAGGTAAGGCAGAAATAAGACACTGCAATAGGGAAGGCAGAAATAGGACACTGAAATAGGTAAGGCAGATATTGGACACTGAAATAGGTAAGGTAGATTTAGGACGCTGAATTAGGTAAAGAAAGTTATAGAACACTGAAATAGGTACCTAAGGCAGAAATAAGACGCTGCAATAGGTAAAGCAGAAATAGTCCACTGCAATAGGTAAGGCAGAAATAAGACACTGAAATAGGCAAGTTACGTGCCTGGAAAGGCGTGCTCTCAGCACAGAGGGCCGTGAAGCCGACGATGTCGCTGAAGTAGATGGTGACGCTGTCGAAGTTCTGCGGCTCTACGGGACGGTTGCTCGTCAGGCAGCTCGCTACAGTCCTGTGTGTGGGGGCATAATATGTTCATATTAAGTTCCGTTGGTGCTTTGATATAATACCATAACTGCTCAGACAACACGTATTCATAGGGGAGAATTGTTTTAATTTTTTGGTCAATGTATTTTTTAGAATATAGAAACGAACAGCATCGTATGGTATGGAAGAAAAAACATCGTAATTTGGGTACGATTTATAGAAACTCTCTCATTGAGCTTATGGATAGTGGCGAGAATAGAATGGAATAATTGACTCTTAATAATATTACTTTTTATCCATAATGCAATAAAATTATACTTAATGATGAGTGCAAATGAGAATAACAAGAATATTAGTCAGGAAACACAGAATTTTCTCTGTATGCTTTTAATTGATGCGCTTATACGCTGTTGCCATTTTCAACTTATGAATACGTAATTTTCTCTTCATATTCGTCTAATTTGACCGCGGAGTAAATAAATTTCTATTGAAATTTCTTTCGAATGAAAGACGCCTTCAAACCACCCTACCTACCATACCAGCCAAACCAATCTAAGTTTAAAAAATTTATGTACAACTGACCGAGAATTTTTGGTTGTTGAGGTCTGACCCTAAACGCCCTTGTCAGACCCCTGTTGGTTGTGGTCTAACATCGACCACGCAAGTTAAAAAAAGCGATCCATGACTTATGAACTAATCTTAGCAGATGCAGACATGTGACGTATAACTTGATAAACTACGATCTTCTACATTTTCTTTAGGTAAGCTTAATGGTTCCGGAGAAGTGAAAACATTGCCAGACTGAGCTAAGATTTAATGTTACAAAAAAAACTTCGTGTTTTTGCGCAGCGAATCCCTTCAAAAAAGTCACTTTATTTAAACCTGATAACCTTGAAGCTAAAATAGACTTACACTATAAAATGATAACCTAAAAATGTGACTTTTAGAATTTTTGTTTCTGATAACCTTGAAGCTAAAAGAGACTTATACTATAAAATGATAACCTAAAAATCAGACTTAAAGAATTAATTTATTCGATGACTAAGACTAAGACTGACGGTGGCAGCATGCGGTGCAGAAGGTCCTCGGTCTTGCGCTTCTCCTCCCTGAGCTCGAGGGTGCGGTTACAGACAAGCTCCTCGAGGTTCTTGCTGTACTCGTGCAGGAGCTTCACGATGTGGTCCATGAGGTTACCGCGCCGTCTGTACAACGTACAAATTAATCGTTCGATTAGGTCGATTAATTAATAAATTAATTGACGATTAATTAATATATTAATCGACTCCGAAACGTTTCACGATGTGGTCCATCAGGTTACCGCGCCGTCTGTACAAAGTACAAATGAATCGTTCTTTTTAATAGAAATTTGAGTGCACGCTAAGGATTTCTCATTAAATTAAATAAATAAGAAGTTTAGAATTCATTAGAAAATATTAAAGATGCTTTTAATCTCAGAATTAAGTTCGGGCTATTTTAAAGTAGAGGTTAAACGTATTTGTTCATCCAAAATTTGAAATGGAAGGTAGAACCTTTTCTTAGACATAATCCCACAACTGCGTCTTAACCGATCAAAAAGTACTTCTCTTCGTTCGGCATCATCTTTTTGAGCTGGAGTTTGATGGTTCGGAAGAGCGGTCTTTTGGCTGGGTCTTCCTGCCAGCAGTTCTGCATGACAGACACGACGAGGGGACTGCTGCCGAACGGTTTGTCTGTCAAGTCCAGGAGACTTGGACGCTTCAAATTACCGCTCGATGTTTGCCCAGCCTTCACGTCATTGATGATATCTGTGCGGATAATTTGATTATTATTACTAGTGATAAATTTTGTTATATATTTTTCAGTGGTGATTAACTTCAGTAATTTTATAGCGAGCTTATCACGTTGGTGATGCCATCTGCGACTATAAGTTGATTTGTTTTAGTAGTGATAAACTTTCGAGATCTCATCGTGAGTTGTGTCGTTACAACCCAAAAGCAATGTTACGGTGTGAGTCATACATTACATTCAAACATAAAGTAGGCATCTACGATCATATGTGCATTCCCTTGAAACCCTAATTATGCCGTTACTAAAAATCCTAAGTAAGGAAGTTCACCAGCGTAATTGGGTCCTTCTCCATTGTTTATGGAAGAAGGTCCTTGACGTGCGATAATTTGGTGCAGGATGATTGCCTTCCCTTGAAACTATACCATTATTAAAAAACCTAAGGAAGTTCACCAGCGTAATTGGGTCCTTCTCCATTGTTTATTGAAAAAGGTCCTTGACGTGCGATAATTTCGTGCAGGATTATCCCGAAGGCGTAGACGTCGGCCTCCCGAGTGCCTTTCGTCAGGGGGGACTGACGCAGCAGTTCAGGTGCCCTCCACAGCTGACCTAGGCAACGAAAACGTAACATGTTATCATCATGTTAAACATTTATGTTAAACACTATTTAGAAATTAAATAAAATTAGCCAACTTACATTTATGGATTTGAATTAATCTGCTCGTTTTAAGTGAGCATGGCTTACTCAGTATCATCGAAGGTCTGGCGAGCGTCGATAATTTTTTTTAATGAGGCCTTGGATTAAAGTGCTTATAGGGTTAGGAAAGGGTAAAGAAGTAGCCTTAAGTTGAAAGAGAAATAACTATTTGATGCTGATAACAACACAGAGATATAAGAATGCCTTATAGAAGAAAAGCGATGATGTATAAATCACTCGTCAAAAAAAATTGTTGTACAGGCGAGTAATTTTAATCGAAGAAAATTGGGGTAATTGAGTTTTGTCGAAGTAATGACGATAATCAACGTACATTAAGATTGTGCTTCAATTATTAAGAATCGCATTGGAGAATAAAATTATAACAATGTGTGGTAAAAATACTGCGAAAAATTTACTGAAATATTTTATCTTGGCATAAAAAAATTACACTTATGCCTTTTTCTGTGAACGGACTTTTCAAGAAGCGCGCCCCGTCTTCCGTGTTCATGTCGAGCTGGTCGAAGTTGATGTGCTTGAGCGCCTCCTTGCGCAGGTCGTGCAGGCCATAGTCGGTAACCTGTAGCACCCAGCGTCCGGTTACCACGCAGTTACTCGACTTGAGGTTACCGTGCTCTCCGTAGTGACCGTGCAAGAAACGCATACCCTGTAACCAATGAAGAATGTGCAATATAAAGTGAATAAGAGTGTGATACAAAAATTATACATACGTGAAACCATCTTACCAGCTGTATGTACGTATGTACTAAGTCCGTATCTACAATGAGTCGTGCAAGTCGTGTACAAGAGAGGCCACGAAGAACAGGTCCTTATTTCACCCTCAGCAAGTCGTGTTTAAGTGAGGCCACGAAGAACATGTCCTTATCTCACCCTCAGCAAGTCGTGGACAAGAGAGGCCACGAAGAACAGGTCCTTATCTCACCCTCAGCAAGTCGTGCACAAGAGAGGCCACGAAGAACATGTCCTTATCTCACCCTCAGCAAGTCGTACACAAGAGAGGCCACGAAGAACATGTCCTTATCTCACCCTCAGTAAGTCGTGTACATGAAAGGCCACGAAGAACATGTCCTTATCTCACCCTCAGCAAGTCGTTTACAAGAGAGGCCACGAAGAACATGTCCTAATCTCACCCTCAGCAAGTCGTGCACAAGAGAGGCCACGAAGAACATGTCCTTATCTCACCCTCAGCAAGTCGTGCACAAGAGAGGCCACGAAGAACAGGTCCTTATCTCACCCGCAGCAAGTCGTGCACAAGAGAGGCCACAAAGAGCAGGTCGAGCTTGATGTCCTCGTTCTCCAAGATGTCCTCCAAGGAGCCGCGGTGACAATACTCCATCACAATCGTCACGCTCCCACCCTCCAGGTACGCCCCCACCAAACTGCATACGTTGTCCTGTTGCATCTCGCGCATCTTCCTACGCATCAAGGGATAAAAAACTTCGATAATTCTGTCATGCATTTAAGCGGATAATTAGAACCATCAAAGGATAAAAAATATAACTCAGTAGTACTCACTGCAGTGAGTGACGGAGAGCGCATTTTCTCGTCGACGAAAACGTAAAGTTACGGACGGACTGACAGACAGACAGACAGACGGACAGACAGACAGACAGACGGACAGACAGACAGACGGACAGGCAGACGGACGGACATGACGAGCACAATAGCGCCTATTTTCCAGAAATGAGAAAATGCGCTAAAAACGTCGATAATGCATTTAAGCTTATAAATAATACCTCAAAAACTTCGATAATTCTGTCATGCATTTAAGATGATAATTAATACCTCTTTTGCTAGTTGAATTTTTTGCAACGAAACATTTTCATGCAGGATTCATTCATTGGAATTTTCGAACTGACGGTGCAGCTGAGGATTCCGAAACTTTTTATCGAAAGCTCAGAGGAAAATATGGTGGCATTTGCTATTTAAATTTCTAATTCAGTGGCTTTGTTGGCTCAGGCAATATATAGAAAAAAATTGCGAATATAATGTTGGAGTCAAACATTCAGTGCCACTCAGCAGGCTTAATTTTCCTTTCTGTTCATTACATCGCTCGATTATAGTTAATTATAATAAATGTTGGTATACCTGATCTCCTTCATGATGGGTCGACTGAGGTCAGGTTTCTTGTGTGCCTTGTGCTCCATGTCGATGGTCTTGAGGCACACGACTGTACCGCGGTAGTCTGCCAGGCTCGGGAAGTACAGTTGACCGTGGAAGTCGTGCGACACGACGCTCGCAAGACTAGTCTGGAGGCAGAGCGAGTAATGCTCAACATACATTTTACTGGTCACAGTTAAAGGGTAACCAGGCCATTTAGGAAGGTTTTATGTCGATGGAAATTTAGCCTGAAACTTTAAACGAATTCAATATGAAATGAAATCGACATTAAACTACAGAAAAATACTTCAAGTAAACGGAACTCATATTAAATAAAAAATAAAGTAGGTTTCACAAAATAAAACTCAAATTTCAAATACTTCTCCGTTACATATTCCTTTTAATCGTGAGAACCATACACAACACCGCTACTAACTACTAATTAATACTAATATTAACTAAACACCTTTTAATTAATTTAAAAATTAAATTTTAAATTTAATTAAAAATTAAAATGCTTAACATACATTTTACTGGTCACAGTTAAAGGGTAACCAGGCTATTTAGGATAGGTTTTATGTCGATGGAAATTTAGCCTGAAACTTTAAAGATATTCAATATGATATGAAACGCAAGACTAGTCTGTCGGCAGAGCAAGTAATGCTTAACATACATTTTATTAGTCACAGTTAGAGGGTCAAGAGGCTTTTAGAGAGGTTTTATGTCGATGGAAATTTAGCCTGAAATTTTAAACGAATTCATTATGAAATATAATAGACATTAAAATATAGAAAAATACTTCAAGTCAAGGGAACTCATAACAAATTAAGAAGGTTTCAAAAAATAAACCTCAAATTTCAATTACTTCTCTGTTACATATTCATTTTAATCGTGAGAACCATACACAACACCGTTACTAATCACTAATTAATACTAATACTAACTAAACACCTTTTAATTAATTAATTTATTTAAAAATTAAATTTTAAATTGATTTAAAAATTAAATAAATTAATTCCATAATTTGAGCGTGTCGCACCCTGGGCACGAAGTCATATCCGGAGTTGAACTGACACAGCTCCTTCTTGTCTATCCTCCTGCATGTCTTACGTTCTTGTCTATCCTCCTGTATTACTTTGTCTATCCTCCTGTCTTACGTTTTTGTCTATCCTNCACAACGGCTCTGCCAGCACCGGGATCTGGATGTTGGTGTCTAGGGCGTAGTCCTGATAACAAAATGTCATTTCTTATCGTGATACGGAATTGAACTTATATTAATATATGGTGAAATGTATACGGAATTGAATTTATATTAGTATATGATGGAATATTTTCAAACTAATCGTATTTGGAAGGTCTCTCTGCCAGCACCGGGATGTGGATGTTGGCGTCTAGGGCGTGGTCCTGGTAACAAAATGTCATTTCTTATCCTATTAAGGAACTGATGTCAGTATTGCCTTGAATATTTGTAAACTTATCGTATTCGCAAAATATCTCCGCCTGGATGTTGCTGTTCACGGCGCAGTCCTGATAATAAATGCAATTTATAATTGTGAAACGGACCTAAATTTATATCAGTATTATTGTGAATTTTTTAAACTAATATTCCAACGACTTCACGACTGATATTGAAACTTCTTATTATGATGAGGAATGGATATCAGTATATATTAAAAATATGCGTGTGATGTCAAACATATATATGATATATGTCATATATATGCGCGTGATGTCAAACATATCTGTCATATATATGCGTGTGATGTCAAGAACTGAATTTATATCGGTATATTATTGAAAAATTTTAAACTAATCGTATTCGCAAGATATCTCTGCCAGCACCAGGATCTGGATGTTGGTGTCTGGGGCGTAGTCCTGATAACAAAATGTCATTTCTTATCGTGATACGGAACTGATGTCAGTATTGTCTTGAATATTTGTAAAGTTATCGTATTTGCAAGATATCTCTGACTGGATGTTGGTGTTTAGAGCGTGGTTCTGATAACAAAATGCAATCTATTATCGTGATACGGGCCTGAATTTATATCAGTATAATATTACATTTTTTAACTAATTATATTGCAACGACTTCACGACTGACATTGAAACTTCTCATTGTGATGAGGAATGGATATCAGTATATATTTTAAATGATCTTTGTGGAAATTAACCTCATTCACAAGATGTCTCGGTCAGTACCAGGATATGGATGCTGGTTGAGTCAGAGAGCAAAATGTTGGTGATGAAGATATGCTTATAAATCGGACACAATATAATGAAAGTATTATTTCATAGGAGCATTTTATGGCAAAATTGAACAATGGTGCTTTACTTAATTAAATATAAGCGTAATAAAATAAAAATTAAATTTATTTGCTGCTTATGCGCGTGATGTCGCGCATATCTGTCATATATATGCGCGTAATGTCATACATATGAGTGTGATGTCAAACATATATGTAATATATATGCGTGTGATGTCAAACATATCTGTCATATACAGTATATTCGTGTGATGTTTGGCACGGAGGCGGTGGTATCAAAGATACCGGCGACATTGAATGACCACGTACGAAGGCTAGCGTGAATTTAGTGCACCAAGTATTGTGTATATATAGTGAGAATGAACAATGTACAGGGTGTCCTAAGTACAATGTCCCGGACGTTTTAATTGATTATATGTCGGCTTATAGTTACACAGATTTATTGGAATCTTCCGTTAGTTATGTGGAATACATTTTAGGAAAAAACATACCTTGTGAAAATAAAATAAAATTTAAATTTTCAATTTTCAGCGCTTAAGATTAAGGATAGATAGATTCATAATTTGGAGAGATAGATCCATAACATGAATATATAGACCCATAATATGGATAGATATATCCATAAAATGGATAGATATATCCATAGATAGATATATCCATGGATAGTTAAATCCATAATATGGATCGATATTCCCCATAATATGGATAGATAGATCCATAACATGGATAGATAGACACATACTATGGATAGATATATCCATAATATTTATAGATAGACCAATATTAGAAAAAAATTCTTACGACGAAGTCAGAGATTTTAGCGAGGCAGTGGGAACAAGGGAAGTTCCTGGTGCTGGTGTTGCAGTTGGGATGCTCGTAGAAGAAATAAACGCTGTAGTTACCTTCACTCTGCGCCTGTCCGTCCATAGTTACCGAGTAACCCAGAATACCTGCAAGTATTAATATCAGTGTTATTAAAGACCTTATACTTATATAAAGAATTTAGATGTAAATGGTCACGGAGTAACCCAGAATACCTGCAAGTATTAATTTCTATGTTATTAAAGACCTAATACTTTTATAAAGAATTTAGATGTAAATGGTCACCGAGTAACCCAGAATACCTGCAAGTATTAATATCTGTGTTATTAAAGACCTAATACTTATATAAAGAATTTAGATGTAAATCAAACGCTGCATATATGGAAGTCTCAGGAAAACGAAGGATACTGAATATTGGCTTTCCGAACGTAACGCAAAAATTTTATTCATCTTTATTTTAGCACGAATAATTAAAAATCCTGTTAGGCGCATCCCCATTAAGTCTTCATATTTTAATTATCTGGGAAGGCATTACGAAGGAAATGGTAAAAACTAACACATAAAAGGGAAATCGTTAACTTATTGGCAATGGAATTAGTTTGTTTGCAATTCAGCTGCACAAAACTAGAATGACTGGTAAAAATAACTCGCTTGTATATGTGTGGTTTCTAAGAAGGTTGATTATGGCCGCGCCATCGCTGGCCACCTCTTCGACGGACACGCGTCGATCTCCCTGTCGCCACACGGCCATACGCTGCTGGTACAGTCGCCGTACAGCGTCTGCGTACTGTACCACAGCGTCGTACAGGTACGACAGCGACAGGTACGGCAGGTGCTGTAATGCAGGTACACTTACTTTATTTATATACGTACAGGTTTATAAAATGATCTCCTGATTAATGAATTTAGGAATCAGGAGTCATTCATAATGAATGACTCCATGAATTTTTTTCATTCATAATGAATGAAAAGTCATAATGAATGACTTTTGTTAAAATTTATCAACATTACTAAGTAAGAGAATGTTTCTTGCCTAACTGTACCAAGAGAACTAAATACAGATACACAGTGAAACGTAAATGCCATAAAAATTACTAGAAATTTCGATCTAAATTAAGAATAATCGAGCCATAAAAAGTATATATGTGCAACGTGTTGCACTTGTATAGGAATGAGGCTAAATCAAGTACAAAATTGTCATGATATAATAAGTGATGAAAAAAAGAATATTGCATTATTTCTAATTAAGCGTGATTTTATTTAAAACTAAAAAATAGAGGTTTGAAGGGAAATTTCATGCAAAAATGCAAACATTCATATAGGAGGGATTCACAAAAAACTCATGCTAAATAATATAATGTTTTAATATTTGCGCAGGGAGTTCATGAGTAAACAAAAGCGTAAAAATTTATCTGGAACAGGGATAATGCATATTTTATTATGGCAGCCTGCGGCCAAGAAACACATAATATTTAAACCCACAATGTGGGGCATCGCACAAGACAAGTTTCAAATCCACAACACAGTTCAATATAATTTATGACAACAACAATATCGTCTTGTGGTATTGACAAATACTCAAAAACGACACAATTTTTGACGTTTTTTTACATCGAACACACAATTTTTAATTGTGTCGTCAAAACGACACAATTTATGACGTTTTTTTATATCGACCAAACAATTTTTAATTGTGTCGTCAAAACAACACAATTTATGTTGTTTTATATATCGACCACACAATTTTTAATTGTATCGTCAAAACGACACAATTTATGACAACAACAATATCGTCTTGTGGTATTGAAAAATACTTGAACATGAGTTGAGAAAACATTTTTCGAGTGTTTACATGTTTGAGTGTCGAGATATTTGAGTGTTGCCACGAATGTTGGAAGCCTGAAAACTAAGGCTACAATTAATGTCTGTTTACGAGAACACGCATGAATAGAGCAGCCCACATCGTTTAATCACAAACTAAAGCAAATAATATTGAATAGCGTAATAATATCTAAGAATAAGAGCAGGAATCCACGAGCAAATGAAAATAAAGCTATTTTAATTATATTCATTCATTAATTAACCACACAACAGACTGGGAAATCACTACGATGTAATGCACGGAACTATAATTAACAACTGCAAAATAACCGTGAATTGAATGGATGTAACAACGCGTTTAAAAAAATAACAAAACAGCCTAACATTTTCATTTCTACGCCCAAATGTTAAACAAATTCCCAGTGATATGATAAATAAATAAATAGTTCCAACAGTTAATAATCATCATCAAGACAATCGTTCGTAGATGGAGCCTGAAATAGAAAACAGAAAGCAAAACAGCCATTTTTTTAAAACACTCAAACATACAGACCATAAATAGTATATAAGAAGCGCGGGACTCATCATTCAAGTATTGAGTTGATGGTTCACCATACAACTACTTAGATTAATGCTCACCATACAACTACTTAGATTAATGCTCACCATACTACCACACAATCACTGGTATAGCACAGGGAAATTTTGAGTGAAGATACCGCGTAGAAACTGTCATTCATTGGCACAAATATCTGAACGTCTGATGTTTGAAAAGTCAGTGAAGTCAGATGGAAATCTGGCTATAAATGGTGTACGGTTATAGGAAATTTAGAAACAAATTACAAGAAAACTAGAGTGTGTAAAAGCTGAAAAGTAAATTACAAACTTTAAACTTGCTATATAGAACATCCCGTTGTGAAGTTAGTTCTCTAATCCACTCTGCAGTGACTGGCGAGACATTGCGGACCAAACCTCATGGATATTAGGAACTAATGGTGCTATTAAGGACTCGAAATTATGAGTATCTCAGGTACGAATTCAGTTTACTTTTGCCTTACTTTCTAGTTCAACAGGAATAATTTCCTTGGAATTGATGGACATTTTTTAAACAGTTCAACACGTGAGGCTGCTGGAGATAAACCACATTAATGTTGGGAAACGCGAAGAAAATCTTACAAAACAGTAAAATGTTAAGAGGAACATGCACCCTGCATGTTGCCCTCGCGGTACCTACATCCAGTCAGTGTATGACTGTTTATGTATTATAAGTATGCAAAAATTCTCGCATACTCATTCGAGGTTTCGGGACGAAGTTCATATAAAAAGAACTTTATACAAGAATTTATGCTCCGTTAAAAGTTTTTTTAACGTGTGACTCAAAAACTAAAAGTAAGAACAGCTGTCTACAAAAACTTCTAAGTGAATAATGCGAAAAAAATGCGCACATATTTACGAATGAAATACTAAGTTCCTATTCGAAAATTGATATGGAAATTTTTCCGAGTACCATTAATAATTTTATAATATTTTCGATGTGAAGTTTTCTCATTCAATTTAAAGAAGAAGACATTAAGACATTGAGACAGAAGACATAGAAGACATTGTCTTGAATATTTCTAACAAGCAATCGACTTTTTTTTTTGCAGCATTCGCATAACACAATATTGACAGACTACGTACCCTGACGGAGAATCGACTCCTATAACCTCCTTTACTTCAGAATATAACGATGCAAATTTAATCCATCATAAAAAAATTTAGATCATAGAAATCAAGCGAAGAGAGTAATGTTATTCAAAAATTACAATCGAGGACTCAAAATGACTCAAAACAAGACTGACACCTGATAGCAGTTTAAGAACGCGTATAAAATTTTCGATAGTTCAACAAGTTATGTCTTTCACTCCATATTTATATAGGTGTAAACATATACAAAATACCAATCATTCACACCGTCAAGCCAGCAATAGCATGATCTATAAAAAAATATATATTGCGTTCCAAATGTGAATATTTAATATTAGGTGAGCACCATATTCTAATATACATGAAATAAATCTGTATCGATTCCTGGAGTCACCTCGTTTTGGCAACTGCTGGAAGACTCGGAACTTATGAGGCTAAATTTACGACGATACTGTAAGTAGTTTCGAGCAGCGAACTATGAAAGGAGATCACAACTCCCTTAATTGGACGACGCCTGGGAACTGCCAAGTCAATTGAAGATGATATCTTTTAAGACTCGGTACATCGAATGTTCTGTTGGACGATCATCAGTTAGGGCATTCGGTACGTATTCTACAATTAACTGTTAAAATTAAGCACACTTTCAGATGTCTTGAATTGTATAACAATCTAGAAGGCACGGTATATAATTTTATTTTGTTTTCTGCTAAAATCATCTTATCTGGAGTCGATAATATAACGGTAGCTCAATTTATAGTCGCCATTGAAGGATTATAACCGGATATATAAGTTATTGAGAAAAATAAATAATTTTTCTACAATTATCTGCCCTTTTGCAACAAAATTATGATAAAATTTAATAGCTTCTGCATATGGCTTCTAGGTATTGCATAAGAAATTGAATTTATTTTTTAAGAAAAGTGAATCTCGATATCAATTTATCCAGAAGTTGATCTCGATAATTTGAAAATATGAAATCCACAACGTATCGTAAAATTTGGTACATAACATGTCGCACATGGAGAGTTTATCAAGTAATCCATCGCCTAATTCTATCAAGAATGCATGAATAAGAGCATTGAACAGACCAAAGAACACACAGACACAATCAAATGCTTGCAATGAAACACAAACTCCAAACAAGTGATCCTCTTAAATTGGCAGTCCTGCCTAGATCCGCAGGACGCATTAAGCATTAACAATACTGAATGAAAGAGAATAAATTTTAACGAATAACTTAAATGTTGAGGTCATTCACCGCACTATAATTCAACATTGAGGTCATTCACCGCCGACCTCAGAGTTGAAGATCAACTTCAAAGAATTTTTGAATGTTGATCGAGGCCAGAAGCCTTGATCAACAGACAAGCTCGGCAAATTGAAATGTAAATCAGATCCAGAATTCATTGCACTACGTAGAGACGCAGCGTTTTATTTATCTATTCATTATTTTTGTAGCAATAAATCGTAACATCGCCAACAGATCATATATTTGCTGGAGCATTGGAAAAAATATCAAGTTTAAAATGATATCAGCTCATCCTGCTGGGAGAGCAACAGGAGCCAATAAAAATATATCTGTTTCTGTCACGTCCATCGGCAGCAACTGTGACGAAGCTCGAACACAGACTTTTCATTGCTGTAGAAGTTTAGCCGTAAAAATGCACTGCAGTCATTGCGAAAATCTTTCTCCAGTTTGGTCAAAAGTCTTCCCAGGCTACAGTTTTGGACTGTTCACTCAACAGTATTTCAGCTTTATTGCCTGTTCACCATTACTCGTTTATAGCGTTGGTGGTACTTATGAGAACATCATAAAGCGCAAGACCTATCGTGATAAAGATTGAAGCCCGTTTCCCCCAACAAGACTTCTTATGATAACTACTTATACAGGGTGACACAAAAAAAACAGAGCTCACTAAAAGTCTTATAACTCCTGAAATTTTATTCAGTTTGAAACAAAAATTCTATGGAATTATATTGAAATAAACAATGCTATTCATCAAATGTTAACCTTTAGCTTTTTCTTTTCAAATTATGGCAAATAAAATAGGGCAATTGAGATATCAAGTACTATTGCTATCTCTATAATGAAACGGCAATCAAACCGATTCCATCGAACGAAATATCCTAGAAATATTATAGCAATTATATACGTCAAATAAGAGTAAGCTTCATCTGAATTGCTCTTGGATTTAATAGTCTCATTTGAGGCATTACAAATGACTTGGAACTATACGGCAAATTGAGAATCTTTTCATTGAAGGTTGAAAATTTGGATCAAATTTGCTTCCATGATTGTTTCGGATATCTGGTCAAGCCAACAACTTT